AAGTAGCGTACCGTTACGTTCCTTCTTTGGCACTCGTGTATCGCCACAGGAAAAAGCCTCTGTTAATTAAGCCCCACTAATCTAAATTACCGTGTCTGAATCTCGAATAATTACCCGATTATTGAAAGTAATTGAACGCAATCTGACTCCAACATCTGTACAAACAAATATAAATGAGTATTTGAGCGTCTCAAAAAAAAAGAAAAAAAATAATTCAACAATTACCCTCCCTCTGTGATTAGAGAATAATAAAGGGATGAAAGCGAATAGGGAAGAATCGAAAGAGATCGTTAAAGAGAGGAAAACGATCGTTGACCGAGGATGGCCGCAAAGGCTCAACGTTCCAACATTATTCCAATATCGTTCACCTGAGAAGCAAAGCGACGCGAGCAAACAAGCAAAAGAAAGGGATTCCTGCCTCATTGAGGGACAAAAAAAAGTATAAAAAAAAAAAAAAAAAAAACGAAGAAAGAAGAAAAAAAGGAAGAGGATGGAACGAATGTATGTATTCCCAACGAAAACTGCAACGCGATAAACCTTCTAACGCGTACACGTTAAAACCGGTATTACATACACGCCGGTGCACGCGCATAATAATACACGTATACATGAGAAAAGTCGGCGAGGAGTTTCGTCGAGCGTGGAATTCATCTTGCTCTACGATCCCTTACATTGTGTGAGGCCATCGAGAACTGGTTTCATCGGGTCCCCGAGTAGCTGTTTCATTTTTTACCGGGAAACAGAGAGGGCATTTTAATAGACGGCGCGCAAATCCCGGCCAGCCAGCCAGCCAGCCAGCCAGCCAGCCAGCCAGCCAACCAGCCAGCCAGCCAACCATCCTAAAGGGTTGCTCAAAACCAAGCGAACCGGCGTAAAACGATTGACGAATCACCGAACACGGTTCTATTAACCGTGCCACCGACTACAAATTGATAACCTCCCTTCCTCCTCTCCCTCCCTCCCTTCCTCCTCTCCCCCTCCCTTCCCCCGTTTGTCGCGAGATTGGCCATCGATGGACCCGTTAAATATGTCATTTCACGTGGGCCAGATATCTCGATAAAATATATAGATAACAGTGGACAAACAGTTGGGCTTCGTTTCACGGTAAATTGATCAAATTCAACAACGAATACGAGTTGCTCGTAACGTTAAATCTTACGAATTTTTTTTATCCTCGAATATCTAAGGTAAAAGTAGTATATCGATGGGAGGGGTTTATTCCTCCTCTATTTATTCCATAATATTCAAACCCTCCTCCCGCCCCGAATAGTTTTCCGATAACTTTCTGTCTTGTATGTATAAAGGCATAGAGGTATACGAAGGTCCGGAATTCTATAGGACAGGCCGATACACGTAAGAAAGAAACGGGGAGAGAATGATGGAACTCCGTCAGCCCGGGGAGAGAGATAAATGATGACAGTGATAAAATGTTTATTCCCGTTGAAGTACGTGCCACGAAAATCGTTTCATCGTAAGCCGTTGAAAATGAATTTGAATTTATACCGTGTAATTTTACCGCGACTATTATATCGGCAAATACCATCGTGAATTTTATCATTCCCGCGCAAAGATATTGGCAAATAAATTTTAATTGATTCAGTTTTCAAAAACGCGTCCCGTATTTCAACGTGTGTGTGTGTGCAATGTATACGCGCCGCGTCCATTTAGTCGTTTGGGAACACGCGTTATTATATACCTTTTTTTCCCCTCCCTCTCCCAATGTTATTCGAACTGTTGGCAAAATGTGTACGATTCCCGTTAATAAATCTCAAACGGATCGATTAACGGTCGAATTATTGGCGGGGTAAAATTAGTGCTACGTGCATAAATCAACGTATCAATTTGGGTACAAAAGCAAAATCTGACATTGCGCTTCCCTGCGGCCGAGCGCATTATTATTACTGCGATCGTTCGTTACGCTGTTCTTGACCGCGTGCAGTCCTCGTTCATTGTACTCGCGATGTTGCGATCAACGGACAGGATGTAATCGCCTATCTTCATTTTTTTTTTTTTTTTTTATAGATAATTAAAATCAGAATACTGAAAGGAATTCCGCCGTGTGCATGGGAATATTTTTAATATTGTAATACGTATCGCTCGAATCGCTTCGGATAATCTTTGAAAGTATTTCGAAAGTGGTGAAATTAATTCTTCATATTTTGCGAATGTTTACATTTTTATTAATTTTTTTTTCTGTCGAATAATAAAGAAATTGAAGAGTAAATTAATTGATAAAAAAAAAAGAAGATTACGATTATTCAAGTGAATGGAATTGCATTTGGAAGATTAAAATGGATATCGATGATTCGTATTAAAATATAAATAATGTTTAAATGTAAATCGCGTTTCGTTATCGAATCGTGATTTTCACTTTACATATTTTTTTTTTTTTTTTTTTTTTTTTTTTTCCCCTCTAATAAAAACTTGATCCAATTAAGTTTGGACGTTCGTGGTAACGAATATTTGATTTGATTGATAAGTGAGTGAACGTGCATGTTAAAGGGGAAAGTTTTATGATAAAGTGAACTGTAGTTGTGACAGAACCTTTACGTTCCTCAAGCTGAAAGCTATTCTATAAGTCGCAAACATAATAGACCACATACATAACAGAGTCATGCAACTTTAGCGTAGAAGCTATTCCTGCGGTATGACTTGCTTGCCAGGGGTTCTCATTCGTTGTGGTATATAATGCTATAAAATCGAACGGTTTTGTTTTCCTCGTCAGAATTCCATCAAATGCAAATTTACATACTAGGTTATCGGATAATAACTATATTTAATGAATTCATTATAAAAATTACAAGTTATAGTCAATTTTTTTTTTTTTTTTTTTTTTAATATATAAAAAGGAATATCTTTGATCACGTTAATTTGAATTTAGATTAATTTATTTTCTTTCGTTGGAAATATAAACGTGTAACGATATTAATATTTATCATGATAAATTTTTCTTTTATTTTTGCCATTATCATTGCATCGACAGTTTTATTATCATTGTATAATATATTGATCAATAATAACTTTGCATCTATCGGGAAAAATATTAAAAAATTATTAGTTCACCAGTTAACCTAGAAATGTCAAGATATTGATTTTCCATTTTGTCATTCTTGAAATATTTTATACGATATCTGAGAATTTTTCATCCAATAGAAAAGTATATTATATAATCGAATAGAAAGGACGAATATATATAATATTCATAATACTAAAATTGATTCAAATCTACGCATGCAAAATTTCAAATATACTTGTATGATTATTTGTTCGAATATATTCGTCCACGAGTAATTTGTCAAACGATATTTGACAAACTAGGCAGAAATATCGCAACGAAATGGAATTTTTCTCAAACATTCTCAGAGCATTTGTAATTTATTGGCTTCAAATCGATGTAATTATTAAAACCTTACAACACAGAGGCTTACAAGTTATTAAAAAAATAAAACGCTGAAAAATTGAAATTGGTTTAGAGAGTAAAGTCCTGTGATCGATATGTTTCTATATACCGATTAGACGGATCACGAATGTCCCACATTGTATTATGTAAAACACGGTTGATCGTTAAGTCTATCCTATTATCACTCGAACCCTGTGTTCTTCGGTGAAAGGATCTGCCGGTAAAACAGATATCTGCCCCCCTCCCTCTCACTCTCTCGTCATTTTTCAAACGCTTTCAGGTTTATTCTTTCCCGACGTTGATTGATGACAGAAATGCAGACGCATAAAAGCTTCCACGAGGTTCTAGTAATGAAAAGAAGGGGTTTTAAAGACTCTTCGACGCCCCATAAGTTGCTAATGTTTTTATTGCCGTAAACACGATTCTTCGAAGGTTGTAAAAATATTAAAACGAACATAGAGAAGAGGAGAGGGGGGAGGAGAGGTGGCGGAGGAGGAGGGAGGAAGAAGAAGTTAAATTAAAGGTCGCAACGTGGGAAGGAGGAGGAGAAGGAAGAAGAGAAGGAGGGGAGGGAGAGGTTAACTATATAGAAATTTTATACGTCAGATATTGCATAAACGGGAGAGGCTCACATTCTCGCAGGAAACAATGAAACGAAATTATTTCCGCGCCGAGTTCTACTCGTTAAAGTTCGAGTGGAATAATTTCAGCTCTTTCATATCCAGCGTAAAAATAAAATTCTTCTCTTATATTACTTTCTCTTCGAGGCGTTTCCCCTCCCGGTATTCGTAAGGGGAGGGGGGAAACGTACGTAAACTGTGCGATATCATGCGTCAGAATTATTTGTCCTTAGAGCTTAAGTATTCGTGTCATAATTGTGAGACTTGTTAATGCATAGTGATTATTCGATGGCGCTAATGGCACGGGGATAATTACATCGAGATACTCGAGTACAATAAATTCGCTTCGTATACGTGTCTCCCAATAGCTTGCCGAGTAATTGATTAACGATCAAAGTAGTTGGATAATGAATTTACTTCGAATATCACGTTGGTATACTTTATGGGGATTGAATGCTATCAAGTTCATCATGAATCATCGATGCTGCTGCTCCCATGAATTACGAAGTTCGTATTAACCCGTATGCATGGAAACGGGATAAATCATACATCGTGATTATTTTTAAAAATAGATGGAACTGGAATACGTTGTCATTGATACAATGGAGAAATTTCTGCTAATCTCCTTCGAAAAAGTTAAGTTCGTCGCAGGTACAAGTTTCTGGAACGGTGTTACTTCGTTATAGAATAGAAACTTCAATAATACTCGAAGTACTTATATAGTACGGTAACTCTCCGTGGAAATCATGAACAAAATGTTCGTAAACAGTTCATACAACGGGACTATGTATATATATATATACATATATATATATTGTATGAAAAATATATACGAGAGGATACATCTGTCACGTATTCTTTATGACATCCTCTATTATAATTATAATCTCATATCCTCTATTATAATATTTCTATAAATCTTTTCTATAAATCTTCCGTCTTTTTATTCATAAATTCTTATCTTAAATTTTATTTTTCAGTGTCTATCATGATTATGCTATTTCCATGAAATTGTGTTGAAAAGTCTTGGAATATTTATTAGATTTATTAAATATGATCGAAAATTGGTAAGTAATTATTCAATAATTATTTATATAACGTTAATAATAATAATAATAATAATAATAAATAATTCAATTTTTAAAAATACAATTAAAAAATTTATCCTTTATATTAAAATTTAATATTAATATTTTATTCGCTCGAGTCTTTCAATTTCTCCTGAAAAATTAAAAATAATCCATGAAATTTAAATTCCATGTAAATTATTTTAATTTCGGACCGTGTTAAAAAAGTGTATTAAGAATAAATTATAAAGAGTATCCAATAAAATAACAAGATTTTTTTTTTTTATATTAATAATAACAGCGAGGGAAAAATCACAATTTTTGCCCGTGCATTTAAACATCCATTTACAAAGCGGCACTTGATTGCACTGACTTGCCTCGCTTCCATAAAACTTGTTTGATTCTCCAGTTAACACAATGAAACGAGTTTTGTCACTTGACATGTCCTTTATTCAATTATTCCACTTGAAATTTAACGACAGGAGAGCGAAACGTAACCTGGAATATCGTCGTAAAATTTATTCAAGAGGATATATTGAATTATATGTATAATACAATTGATTGACGTTCGAATCCCTGAATGTTCGAGTTGACACGTAATCGTAATCATTTAATTAATTCAATTTCCATGTTTATTTCTTCCGATATACTAACTTTATCAATTGCAGAAGACAGAATACAAGTTCGTTAAATTCAAACAAACGGGGTAAAAAAAAAAAAAATCTCGCAAATAAACAAGTTAAATCTTCGAAACATTGAAAAATGAGGGGACACAAATGAGCACACGTTGTAGTTATTTTATTTGTCTCGGAACGAGATAAAATTAAATGTCACGTTCGATTTGGAGAAAAGTTTCATTTAACCAAATGTACGCGTTCAATATCAACGATATCGATTGCTTTTTTTTCCCCTCTCCTCTCTCTCTTTCTCTCTCTTTCTCTCTTCCCTCCTTCCGTTAAATAATAGACAATTAAGTTATCGTTTAAACGAGATGTACGTTTGCTAGACATCTGTTGCCATCCTAATCCCCACACCGTGATCGTAAACCCGGCAAGCTTATTTTCTCTGCCTTTTGTGCCGGCCACCCATGCAACTACTTCATGCGGTTGTGAAACACGTTGTTCCTGCGTCATTACGAGATTATTCGATAAAATGTTTTATTTTCGGTCCTTTACCTCTTCTAACATCGATCGAAATACACAAATTGGACTTTCTTACAATTAGAAGAGATAACACAATTAGATTCATAAAATATTTTAATAATTTAAAAAAAAAAAGAAGAAAAAAACTCAGTCAGTTACAATAAAGAATAAAATTGTTGAAAATATCCTTTATAAAACGTATTTCAGCCTCATTAAAATCAATGAGGAGGGAGGGGAATCGATAGGTTCATTAGAATTAGTTATTATTATTACATATTAATTATATATTAATAAACGATATTATTAATATTAATAATTATTATGGTACCGTAATTACTTTAGGTACCTTAGAACGTATATGTATATTAATATTATTGTTAATTATCGAAGTAATAATTTAACCTCAATATTGTTAAACGCGTAAAAATAATTTTATCCTCCATTTTGATATAAATGCGTTATTCGTACGGCACGGTGAAATGGCTGACCACAAAAAAAAAAGAAGAAAAAAAGAATGAAATCATTTCGACGATCAAACAGACGAGAAGACAAAGAATTGAAACATGAATATGAATTCCAAGGTAGTTGCGTTTTGCGCGACACGTCAAAACTCATGGAAAAAGCTGGAACAGTCAGTTTTTTCGAATATATTTGTTATACAAGCAATACACGTTTGCATATCAAACAACTTTTTAACAGTGCATGACCGATACAGAGCTTAAATGATTTGTTTATCCATGCACCCAGATACGTATGTACACGTATCCAGAATTTGCATGTTATTATCTAATATTAATAATTAAAGCATTATATTAATACGATCGATACAACGTGTGTACCAACATGCTGTGCATTTGCGTACGCGCAACTCGAATAAACAAATATATTGATTAAACGGGCGAGTACGAGAAAAACACGATTCTTCGACAAGGGAGAATAAAATTTATCTCTTTTTGACGAAACAATATAGGGGATATAATGATAAAATCTTCCTTTCAATTTTCTCTTCGAATATAACTTCGTTATATAATTAAATAGACAAATAAAGGAAATTTAATGGGAACGTTATTAATTTTCGTATATACAAATAACGTTATTACGTTATACTCTCGAAAGGGATAATTACGTTCGCGATTATTATTAATAACTATAATTGTTTTCACCACTCTTGCTCGATACCATTGAACGGATCTTGTTTGCTAATGATGATAGTTGCACAATATTTTCATTGTACACGTCTGTTATAATCTGATAATCAGATCATTTGATTATATAAAAAAAATAAGTTAATTATGTTGCAAATATTGATTTCGCTGTACTTGATATAAATTTATTATGAGTTAATTGAATTATTTAAGTAGTAGTAAAATTACTTAGGTAAATTTGTTTTTTTATTTAATTATTTCTATTTTCAATTTCAAACATCAAAAGCTTATTTTTCGCGAATCGATATGTAATTTATTAAGATCTTTATGATTTAAATATATAATTCAATGAAAAATTCGTAAGAATTAAATAAATAATTAATTTAATTTTCAAACAAATAATTTTATTAAATCATCATTTATTTTTTTTTCACAGAGTTTTAATTATCATTATTATTAATGACGAAAAGATAAACCATAATGTTGTACAATTAGAAATGTGAATAAATCTTATCAATTACAAAAATTATACGATATACGTACGTTATATATTAAAGAAAAACAAATACGGAATAGCAAACACGACGTGTTATTATTATTCGTTCGTAGAAGTCGAAGGATTCGAATATGGCAAATGAATATACACAAATATATCTGCTGACTAATCTCGAGATTTTGTGTATTTTTGTTTTTGCAACAATCGAGGCACCACTGTTTGTAGCGATGGCCTTGTAACAAGTATTGCTTCTCATTGTGGCCGTGTAAACGTTGACGAATGGATCGACACGCGCTTGGAAACGTTAATATTAACCAACGCAAAATTAAAATTGTGTGATTTCATCGTATTCTTAATCACTATCTTTTTTTAGAAATTTTCTAAACGAAATAATAATACGTAATATATCGTATACGTAATATCGAATTGAAGGAACATTCATTTTTACGGTAAGTATAATATATATTATATGAAAAATAGAATTCGTGATTATATAAATTTCTTTCTTTTTCAGTTTTACTTCGATTTGGAAATATCCTTTTAATTATCGATTACGTTTCTTCTTCGACCAATAAAAGTATTTGGAGATGCTTTTAAGATGCTAAAAAAGATACTACGAGTACTAAGAAACTCAAATCCAGTTATCCTATTGCAAATTAATCTTGTTTCAAATGAAATCTAATTAATTTTCTAAAAGATTGTCGATTTATGCTACTTCGACAATTTAATTAACGGTATCAATTTCGGTGAAATGCATTTTACCTTCGTGGAATTCGTATCGGTATTATGAATGCATGTAAGTAATAATTAGAAATCACATAGTCGGTATATAGAGGTAAAAGTCTGGTACGCTTGTAAGCTTTCTGATCGATAGCCACTAAAATTAACATGATGCGACCAGGTGAACCGTGTTGCTCGTGGATAGTTCATGATTTATGACCACCATAAAGAGTTAATACATCGCACCGGTAAATAAAATGCGTAAAAACGAGTGCATTGTGACTGATTTTAATTGGTCAATTATCGTTTCATCGCAACGGTTTTCATTTTTAATCATCCGAGAAAACAATATAATTGTCCTCTTTCACTATTTGCTTCCCCCTTTCCACGGTTATATCGCGTAAAAAAAGGATTAAAAATTGTTTTCATATTTCGAAAAATAGCGTGATGAAAAACGAAAAGAATTAATCAAATTAAAGGGAATTGCATTTATCATTATTATTTCATATTATTTACCATTATTTATTTCCTTCCATTTAATTTAATTATGTCGCGCATAAAAATATCCAACGATGTAGAATTTTCCTTAATACGAAACGTTATTTAATTCCATTTTGTTTAATTAAAATATCGACCGGGGACAAAAGAAAGGCTGAGCGCGATGGGGAAAAAAAAACCAAAAAAAAAAAAAAAAAACAAAAATATCGTCGCACGAAAATCTAGCCGCGAGCTTTTTCTCTTGCGATATATATTTTTAAAAATGCTTTTATTCTCGTGTAACCGCAATAAAGTACAGTAAATTTGAAAACAGTATCCGATCGGTACATTCTATTCTCAACGTTACTATGTTATTACGCGAAACGAAATTCCGAAATAGTTTTAATATTACGTAAACCAACGAGCTCAGGCGAAACTGCATTGATCCAGTATGCGAAACGCGAAACTTTTCCCATTGACTGTACTCTCTCTTCCATATCTACCAACTTGTCGTTCGGCCTGTACCTTGAAATAGAAATGATTAAACTTTTAATAACTGATACGTCAGTTTGCTCGCTCGGTAACATTGTGTTTTATTATACAAAGTATAATAACCATAATCAATCGAGTCGTTCAATTTAAAAAGTGACGTATGTTATTTTTTTTTTTCTATTTATTGTTATTTATTTTTTAACGTCGCAATTATTACTGTCGTTATTGGTTTCCCTATATATTTTCATGATAAAGTCATATTTTTTTTACTACTAAGTATTGAATATAAGCAAAAATTCAATGATTGTTTTATCATTGCTATGATTGATTTTATTCGAGAAAATATTCTTAATATTCGTAATATTTCTTGTTCTTTTTTTTTCTTTTTTTTATTTTCGAATTTCAAATTTAAAAGGTAATAAGAATAGCAATAGATTTGTTTGCATTCGATTATATTCAAAACGCGAATCTTTCATCCTTTTCTCGTTTTTTCGAAATCTTTCTTGAATATCGTGTTTTATGTATGGGTATCGTGAAGTTAAGTCTTTTATCGATATAGAAGCCGCACTTTAGTACTTAATAATACTGCAGGAAAACTTCTCTTCTCGAAAAATCAAGAACTCGTAATTCGTACGGTGGAAAAAGAACTAACACGATATACAAGTAATACCTTTTCAATGGACGAGAAATATTTCCAGCAATATTTCGTGGACTATATTGAATTTTCTCTGAAATTACATTTTTTAACAATAATATATAATATTCGTTTTATAAAATCATCATATCTATCGTATTTCGTTTTATAAAAATTAATAACGCGTAAGAAACTTCGATAAGAGAATATATATTTGTTCAATTAAAAATAAAATACATTAAAAATATATTTTCTTTCACGTTAAAAAAATATAAAAAAATAATTATCATAAAAATATAGATAATATACGATTGATAAGAAACATAACTTTTATTTCGTCTCGTGTAATTATTTATGAACATAAAAACGATGAAGATTTTAATTTTTTTTTTTCGAAAAAAAGAAAAAATATTTATAAGTTCAAAAAATAATATTATCTTAAAATCATCATACGAACTGATTGTTCGCTATTATTAAAACGATGACTCATTGAAGTTTGTGCGCAATATTTTTTTTTCCAGCACAAGGTTTACAATACCATTTAAATCGCAGTCCATTATTCTTTTGTACGGCAACTAAATTGAATTAATTTCCCTGGTATTCTCGAACGAGTAAGTTCCTCGATAAAAGTACCCGATATAAATATGGATGCATTGGTCAAATGATAAATTCAAATTTTGCCCGTTGTTAAATCATTTTTCAATTTTGCTTTTTTATTTTAATTCGATTAAATAATTATTTGGATTCCATTCGTAGCGTATTGAAAAATAGAAATTTTCATTCGCGTTTCGTAAACTAAATTCATTAAAAGTAATTATTAATGGTATCCGTCCCCTCTATTAGTGTACTTTCATTCCCCGCCAGATGTCTCCTCCTTTCATAATATTCTAGCATCGCAGGATAAATATACATATATTACGCGTACTATAATCAGTTTCGTGCCTTTTATTCGAATTCTATTATATTCTATATTATATTCAAAAAAATTATACTTGATGTAATTATGTATATATTTGAAATTTTGAACTAAAAACTAAAGTAAAGTAAAAAAAAAAAAAAAAAATATAGAGAGAGAAAATTAAATGGAAGCAATAATACTTTGAAATTCAATTTTGCTGATACAAAATTTTCAGCAATAAAATAAATTCGTTCTGATTCAATCCTATAATTTTCAATGACTCTAGGACTTTTGAAAATTCTAGTTATAAGCTTTTATGTTTGAACAGCACTTATTCCCGTGATCACGGATAAAATTATTAAAAAGTTATTTAAATTCATGAGAATAACAATGATACTTGAGCCACGGCATTATGTGTGGGTGTGGCCTAGAAATTGATGCCCTTAATTATAAAATATTATCTGTTTCATAAATGCAATTTCATAAATGCACCGTCTCCCTCCTTGGATCAATAACTTACTCTCCGTTCTCCTCTTTATAATTATCTTTAAATCCAATATTTTCCCCTTCCCTCCGACTTCATTGAAATTTCATTTAAATAATCTCAAAACTTATTCAAAGCTTGTTAAAATTCAACAGAATGAAATAGGGTCTTTAATGCACATAAGAAAAGTTCACCGAAAGACAGTGCCATTTGTTTGAAAGTAATTTAATAGTTTTTTCTAGTAAAATTTCTTTTATAAAGAATGAAATAATTTTACGAATTTTGATTGTATTTAAATAAATATAACAAATTATGATGAATTATTAATTAAATTTTCAAAGCTAGGAGAATAAACAATTCCTATTTTATTATCATCAGAGCAAACAGTGAAAATTGTAGATAATGCAGACTTTGTCTCTATGTAACAATTTGACATCCATTGTTCCGTTAATTATTTTAAACTTAATAATCTCTTCATTCTGTTGCAACTTATTTCATTTGCGTAACCAATTTTATGAAAATAATTTAACGACCACAAAGGAATTTTGTAATTTGCTGTAATTGACAACTGCAGCATTGATTATTTTCCTTTAATTATTTTTTAATTTATCAAGTAAGAAAAACTTTAATTAATTTACATAAAAGTGAATAGAAATAAACTTTAAAATTGTTTGAAAAATGAATTATAAAAATAGTAAATAACATTGTATTTATTTTTGTATTTATTTTATTTTTTTTAACATTATATAATTTATGAAAAATAATTAGTTAACAAAAAAAAAGAATATTTAAACAAAATTTTACGAAATAATTCTTGATATACGAAATTTCAAGAATGTATGATTCTAATTATTATTATTTTAACAGGAAAGTCTGGCTCACCCACCGAATAACCACAAAATACAAGTGACACACGAAGGGTTACGAAGCGTCACGAAGTGACCCGAATAAGGTTCTACGGGACGTTAATAAGTATATGTATACTAACCACGACCTCATTCGAACTTTTACAAGCCACTGTAAACGGACGATTCCCATACCTGTCTAATGTCCAATTATAAATATTACAATCTCCAGTATGGTGGAAAAAGTTTCATTCTTTCGATAGTGTATCAAGTAAGAATAGAAATTTTTATTACATTTTTTTTTCTCATTAAAATCCATGTTACATTTTTTCAAATAATTTCAAATAATTCAACTTTCTAGGTTAGAAATTTTATAATCTAAATGAATATGTCAGTACAAGATATTTCTCTTATATTCAATTCATAGAGAGAAGTCAGGTCGGAACAAACCAAATAAATTATTCATATGTCATAATATATATATTTCAAGAATTTTACTTCTCAAATGCTTTCAACAAATTCACATAATTCATGACAATTTAATGCGTGTAAGTTGATAATAACATTATACATTTTTATAAAAGCTTTCTATAAACTCGCAATACAATACTTCTAACTATTTTACATAGAAATTATCATCGGAAATTTTGTTGAAAACATAGTTTTGTCATAATTTAGCGTAATTATACGCCAAGTACAATATATATATATATATATATATATATATATACATAACATATGTGTACATTATACGTATATATGTATATATATGTATAAATAAGAAATAGGTTTTCTAGAATATAATGTATGTTGTAGGTACCATTTGTAATGATAAGGGTTAATTAAGAAAGTGACTCGTAAGTGGTTGGTTTCCAACAGAGAGAACAAACAACCAACCGGGGTTCTCTTGGCCCAAACAGAAAAACAAAAAAAACATAAGCAAGATTTACCAGTGAATCTCAGCTCTTTTAATTCTATAGATACACATATTTTTTCTTTGTATTTCTTTTTCTTTTTTTTTCTTTCTTTTTTCTTTTTTTTTTTTTTTTTTTTTTTTTTTTTTACGTAAAATCAACTCCAATACCGAGTTAATGCTGTTTAACAACGAGAACCTCAGAAACTTGGCACGAACTTTAAATTACTTTAAGAATGTAATCTTACCTGCATTCAGTTGGCTTCATTCAAACAAAGTGAATCGGAACTTTTGAAAAATTGAACGTTCTTACGTGGAACACTAACTTGAATTCCGTTTAATATCCTTCGTGCACTTATCCATTTGTTTTTCAATTGAAAAAAAAAAAAAAAATCTTTCTAAATACAGGAATATTTTTTAAAAATATTTATATTTAGAGAAGATAAAATTTAATTAAAAATTGAATTAATTTTAAGCAAATAAATTCTATTTAATATTAAATAGAATAAAAAATTATTATAGAAAGAAAGGAATGAAATTGAATATTTCACATTAATAATTTTAATACAATTCCTCTCTTTCATTTTATTCATTATTCACATTTTGTAATTTTTAACAACATCGCCAATTTTAATATTATTCTACCAACTTCTAGGAACAAATTTCATAACGTAAATTACTTTTAATTAAAAATATTCATGTACATGCGTCTATTTTTTCTCTCTCATTTTCAACAAACGATGCCATTACAAAATACTTATTAACACGATTCGTTAGCAACTGGAACAAATATATTTCGTTGGATTTACAATTAGTAATAATATGTGATATACGAAAGGGTTAATTAATTAAGTACGTATCGATTGGCCGGAAGATAGTCTGCATCGTGTAACATGAGCTTTGCTCCAACATGAAATCAGGGGGGAAAGAGGAGTAGCGGTGGGCGGGGGGTAGTCAACCTGCTCGTATCAGTGATTCTCATTTCGTTCCATCGCTATATTTCATCAAATTATCTTTTCATTTATACAAGTATTATTTTTTAATAATTATATTAAAATACTATATTACAAAACGTTAAATAAAAATAAACAATGACTAATACGATTAAAATTAAATTTTAATAAATTTCTTAGATGAAATTCGATTTCGACCTGTTTCAATGTTTGATCACCATCCGAACTCGAACCCTTTAGAGATCACGATAAGATAACAAGTGTAGAGGAATACGACTCCATCCTTTTCCATCGTTCTCATGAGTACCGTCGTAAATTCCAAATAATAATGCATTGTACGAGCTGGCGTGTTTTGTTTCTGAATAAGCACACTCTTGCACGTTTGCATAATTCGATACGCGTCGGGGTTTACATTGTATTTTAATTATCTTCATTACGTTACAACTTGTACAAAGTATTTCTCCGTTGAAATTGGAATGCAAATAAACGTTAAGATAGTTAGATGAATAGAAAAAAAAAATATATATATATAAATATATAAAATTCTTTGTTACTTTAGCAAACGAAGATTTTAATCTATTTTTCTTTTTCTTTCTCCTTTTCATTATCTTCCTGCTCTCTGCACCAACGAATATAATATTTTAATTCAATAATTGATATAATATTTTAATTTATTTATCGCATGAACTTTGCCATGAATATACTTTTTAACTCATTTAATTTATAAATGTACTCGAATTCGACGAGATTTAATTTCAAGCTTTAATTTCATTGCCGTTTGATTTCGAAGTTGAAGTTCAATTTCTCGAAAATCCTCTCGCTACGTTTTTGCAACATATTTTTTTACACCGGCGGCGTTCTATCAATGTGATTTCCATTAAGCAATGCATTCAAACTTTATAAAAATCAATACACGAAGCGAACCTCGATTTATGTAAATAATACCTGAATATTCCATATACCAGATTAAATTTTAGAAAATTACCATTGCACGCTAACAGAGGAGTTCAATTAGCACCGATAACGAACGATGATAAAATTTAATTAACAACGAAGACTGATAAATTGACTCACTATCGTGTTTCCGATCCGGAATATTCGTGTATAACTTTATTGTATCAATTATTATTTCAACGAATATCTTTTAGAACAAATGTGTAAATTGCCGGAATATATTTTCTCCTCAAATAATAGAGTGAAAGAACGAATTAATGAATGGAAATTCTCAATACAACAAAAAGATAATAATCGAAAATTAAAGCAGAATCAAAATCGTTAATTAAATTTCTACCATTTCGATTAAAAATATAATTAATTATTAACTTCATATATAATTTTTTGGTTAATTGAAATTTTATGAAAGATAGTAATTGTTCATGAATATTTTTCATAATATAGCAATGATAATGATTCAAAATTAAATTAGCTTTGAATTACGAAACGCTGCTGTTCGCCTTATCGTCGCGTGATTAATTAAAAATGCCTTAGAAAAGGAGACATTAATAAAATATGCTGAATAATGGTAAAACTCGACTACGATTATTTATAGGTCGTTCCGATTAAGCTTTGCCTTAAGCTCTTGAAAAATATTCGACATTTGTTTCAATTTATTGAAGAAAGTAATTCACGCAGAGATTTAATATCATTTTTATCATCATATTTTCACTTCGATATATCAAAGAGAAATATTTATCCCCAAAATACAAATGTTATTGGATCCTACACATAAACACGTGTGCTCGGACAACAATTTAAAAATCATATAAAACGCGATAAACGGACCACAGAGCTTGCTTTGTTCACTTTCTATTCAAAATGATTCCCGCTGCATACAGAAATGGAAGTAACGATACCGAGTAAATGAAAATTCACCACTCTCGGTTATTGCTACGTTTCAGCAACGAGCTGCTGAATACGTCTGGCGATCATAAAATCATTTCTCTTTGTACGCGTAGAGGCAACGATAATTTTCATATAATTCGCGTAGCTTTGCTTGTAGTACTGCGTATATCGAATATTTTATTTAAAATAAAAATTACATTCGTATAATTTCCATTACGATAAATTAACATTAATTAAATTGTTACGAGTTTCAGATCCATCGTTCGCTGAATAATTTCAAATATTGTAGCAATTTCAACTTTATTTTAATTTTATTTGAAAAAGTTATTCGATAAAAAGGAATGTAGTAAAAAATAAATGCAATTTAAATCTGCTTTATCGACGGTTGATGTGCATGTTTGTTATCGACCAAGTTGCCTACATATACACATACTGCACAAGCATGCTCAACTACAAATGTCATATGTTATCATAGATCGTATCGATATTTGTTTCTCCGTGACTCATTTCGCATTAGAACCACGTTAACGTGTTCATCTGTGAAGCTTAATAACAATACCAATGATCGCATTCCATCCGACATCAATGATGAATATATCTTCTGACGCATATTAGCTTTGTGATTTACGAAAATGCATTATTATCGAATTAGCTGACGTAATTTGCTCTAACTTCCCACTTACTTCTACAATCACAATTAACTGAAAACGCTTTGTCAGATTTCACGTAATTTAGATAGTAAGCGAAATATCATAAGTATCGTAAAATTAATATTATCATATTTACATTTTATGTTTTACATTATTCGATAATTTCCATAAATTATATTATATTATTTATTATTAAAAAAAGTATTGAGTTAACAAAATGTAATAAAATGTTAATTTTTTTTTTTTTTTTTTTTACAAATAGAAATTTATCACGAAAAATAATATTGAATTAACAAAATGTAATGAAATATTATTTTCGTTTTTTACAAACAGAAAGTGGTACTGTAAAATAACAAAGAGATTTAAATTGAAATTCAACTGAGCGGAAATGATATCCATTTAACCTGTTATACGTTGAAAATATTAAAAATTTTAAAAGTTCAGATGTGTATATGTATGTTAGAGTTGCGGCACGAAAGAATAATTTTAAAAGTTAGAAAAATATTGTACGTTTCAAACATGGCAGAAGTTCGATAATTTTCAAATAAAAATGCTAAAACCTTTATTTATTTTTGTCGAGCTATTTCAAATTTAAACGCAAATAACATTATTTACTATTTTGAATTCGAATAATAATATCGATAGTGTAATTAATTATTCGTTAGAGAAAGAATTTTAAACGATGGAATTATCTGGATAGTCACGTATCACAGTACACTCCGTTATCGAATATCGATAATGAAAATTTAAAGGGCCTTCGACGCTTTCATTTTCCTCTTCACATCGCTTTGTGATAATCCGAGATCGTTCGTGGAAGAAGATTATCGTTAACCCTCTATATCATAGATTCGTGTGTTACGATATATGAAAATTAAAATTAAAATCTGAACAAATTTTTCAAGTAATCAGAAACGAGTAAACGATTCAAAGAAAACAAGGCTGTAACGGAAAAAATTTACAGTGACGTCTTGTATGATTGAACTATTATTAGTGATTATTATTATTAGATTGTGATTGATATTAATAAATTTTCTTGTGTAATATTTGATAATAAGGTGAAAATGAAATTTTATTAATAAAATTTTAGTGATCTGATTATCTTATTTCATATAAAATTCTAAAAGTGAAGTTCATAACCTATAACTCATAATACGTGAATTTATTAATATTATTGATTACTAAATCATTATACAAGAAAGTTTTAAAATCTAAGTTTAAACTATTAAAATTGTATTTTCGAAATATGTTTAACCGCATAAATGAGTTTTTTATTGAAAATAATTGTTTGTGTCTTATTGTATATATCAATATTCCATTCTCGAAGGTTAGGTTAATTTCTTTAACTCATTCTACTTGAAGCATTGGTGTATTGTGCATTTTGTGTTAAATTATAATTTTGTTTGTCTTGTCTATAATTCATTGTTTTTATTTATAATAAATTATTTGATTTTAGTGTCCTGTGTTCCTGTGCAAGTTTTTATTACTTCAGTCATTTATTCGTCCTCGTCATTTAACCTTATGGATATATTTATGATTCACCAGCAACAGATCATTTTCTCGTCCATATTGATGTATTGTACATGACAATCCCTAACGAAATATCATTGATAATACGAACGCAAATAATTCGTAATTCAATGTATTTAGAACTATTACAACTTAAAATATCCACTCGTTTTACTATCATCTTTTTTTTTTTTTTAGTGAAAATCACGAAGGCTGAATAACGTCAGAAGAATCTTCCAATGTGAATGATTCATTCTTCCTCTAATGAATACGAAATTCATCGAATTATTGGATAGGTTTGTTCTTTTTTTCTATTTTTCATACAACTTTATTTTCAGTTCGTTTTATTCATATTATGATAAAAACAAAAGATGAAAGAAACATAACAATTTTATATAAATATCATTAGCTCATACACATTGTACAGTGAGATATTCGATCGTAAAAATTAACGACCACGTTCACGGAGATTACTTGGCAAAACTGTTACGACTGACATTATTGCCAAGTTTATATTTATTGCCTAATTAGTTTATATCCGTTAACGAGTCAGCTTATCAAATTAACTTATATTATTCATTGTCGAAATATTTATTAACGAAAAAAATATCAAAAATGAAACAATTGATATCAATAAACCAAAATGAAAATACTGAAACAATTTCTATTTTATAAAAATCAAGATTTTTGCTTCTCCCTAGTCATATAAAAAGTTTCACAATATTCAGTGTTCATAAACTTATACTTGAACGAAACTTCGATACTCCAAAAACTCTGATTTATTTGAAAACTTTGAATACGTCTCTTAAAAATTACCATGTATTTTCCTATTTCCCATAATACATTTTGAAAGCTATACACGGTAAATAATTTAACTCTGCCATTTGAATTTACTTGTAAAATATTTATTGCACACGAAAATGTCATAAATAACAATTGTATAATTTAAAAGTAAATTTAGATGACTAAATTAAATGACTCTTTCTGTATAATACTAGTAAATATAAAAAATTATTAGAATATCGATTTATTGCTTTTTATATTCTTTGCAATGAATTATTCAAACTTTTTTGTTTAAATAAAAAAAAACTAATCGTTAAATTTTTCTTTAACAATTTTTCTTTATTTATAATTTTCAAATTCATAAAGAAATAGTGAAATAAATTATCGAACTTAAGAAACTGAATTATATCAAAAAAAAAAAATTTAATTCGACAATTCTTTTCAGAAATTAACAAACTTGTAAAATTTCCAATAAATTTGAAGTTTTCGAATATCGAAGTTACAAACAAAACAACATTTCGATCGATTTACAATGCTCGACGAATAAACAATGAAAAAAAACGAAAAAAAAAGATAAAAAGTATTTAAAAAAAAAACAAATTGACAAAGGAAAAGGGAAACCAAAAACAGAGAAAAACACATCGAATGCAACGATATAAAACGAGAACTATTCGATGAAAGAGGTTGTAGATTGGAGTAAATTCACTTTATTACTTCATGAGTAAGCAAGAGACAAGGGAAGCGAGTAGTTTATTGAGAATTACTGTGATAAATAAGGCGGGAGCAAGCAGTGGAAGAGGTTACACCGAAGAGTGGGGAATGGCAACGCGAGGAGAACGATCTCCACTCCATGGATACTCCTCGTAATGTGTACCGTATGCAGCTACATCTACACGCATACGCTAGCATCTCTGAGTGCATACGTTTACGCGTGTTCATGTAAACGTTCTCTCTCCCTTCTCCTTCTCTCTCTCTCTGTCCCCTCCCTTCTATCCCCACTCCATTTCTATACGCGCGCGTGTATTTATATGATACACTATTCAAGTGCGCGTGCGGAGAATTCAGTTTCGTATGTGCACACGAACGATACGTATACAGACGGCGTTTCACGAATAGGATTACACTCGTCCAACATTAAATAGACTCTTGTATTCGCGATAAAGTTATTTTTACGATCGTCGTGAAGACATTCGTCGAGTTATCCTCCATGAAAAAGCATCAGCAACAATTTCAGTTGCAACCGACTAGGTAGGGAGGAAATTTTTCTCCGGCCAGACGTGAGGTTGAACACACTGTAGAGCAATGACGAGGAGTGGGGGTAGGGCTATACCGCATGTGTATATATACACCAATCTACAGAGACCGAATGGTCAATGCTTGCTTGGCACTGTCACACAAATATGACACCAGGATCGAACGGAATTCAATACTGGTTTGAAATTTGTAATCAGATTGACGGCAAATTTCCGATGAATCGTGACAACATCATCTACATATATGGAGAGGACGGAGATATTCGGATGACAGATGCAAATGTAATCCGACTTGCATTCCATATATTATTTCACTTTGTCCTGTGTACCGGGTCGTATTTGTGTACTTTGTGATACGATGGACATTATATTGCACTGTGATTTTGCTACAATGTACTTTTCAACATTTCCATACCAGCCGCGTATCGGAAACCGATAAGATTGAAATTATGGCTTGTAATATTAACCTCCAAAGCTAATATTACCACAATCCCGGTTGTATTTTTATAAAAACGGGTAGAAGTATGAGTAAACGACAACCTCGTAACTCTTTTTTAACTTTTTACTAATTTACGCGAGTACACACGCGTATACACACAAAGAAGTTTTTGTCCAAAGAGAAAGTTTAACAACGTTTAAGTTGTACACAATGCTTTCTATTGCAAGCTCGCAAATTAAATTTGCATTTCCAAAGAGTCTAATTTCCAAGACGGAATAACGTTTTTAGAATATACATTTTATCGCATTGCTCGCTACGTTTCAAGCTGTAAAATTACTACCGTTTCATCGGTATAGTAAAAATCCCTACCACACTTTTCAGCTTGTACATTTTTGCTCGAGCCCCTTGAGAATGCTCGCGTGTCCGATCATTTATAAAACAGGTCGGTTTTTATTTCATTCGAAAAATCTCATAGTGCGGATTCCTCGCTCCCTATACGATATTCTCCTTTACTATCATTCTGAAAGGCAACACACGAGTAAGTGAATAGAATGATATATATCGTAGCGATAAAGTGTCTCCGTTTCATATACCGCAATATTTTCTCGGTGCCATGTCAAGCGTATTTTTATCCTCGGGACAATTTCTTCTTTCGAACGAAAGTACCGACCGAGTCGAGGAAGGACCGTTAATTGTTTAACAGCGATAATCTTGGAAATAAATCAATTCGATATTTTTTATTCTTCCTTTCTTTTTTTCTTTCTTTTTTTCTCGTTTAACGATCTCATGTTTTTCTTCCTTAACAATTTTTAAAAAATTATTGTAGATAGAATAAAAAAAAGAGGAATAATCAATGCCATGGATTGGAAATATGACATGAAATAAAAGAACGTGGGAGAGATGTAGAATAAAAGAAATAGAGAAGAGTAATAATCGATGCTATGGATAGAAATATTAAATTAAAAAATTTATGAAACGTCTAGCGGAGCGCGATAACGATTATTAATGTAACGTTAATAATTTTATTGTAACGCTCGATTGAGCGCATCGTAAATTATTAGCAATGACAATAACGCGTTTTGATGCATTTATTCATCCTGTGTATAATACAGAAATAATAAAACCGGAAACGAATGGAACGAAATAATGTAAAATGTGAAACAAAGATGGGGAAGGGAAGGGCGGAACAAGATTGAAGACCACGCTTGTATTTCTGCAATTGCAGTAATAAACACGTAAAAACAATTCATCTTTGTCAGAAAATTTGTTTGCTCGCGAAACGATGGAAAATTTGAAAAGAATTTCGAAACGGAAACCGCCAGAACGGAAACAAGAATTAGATAAAAACACGCGATCGATACTAGAACACCACGGTGCTCGTAGAAATGCTTGTTTCTCCATGAATTTTGCGATTAATTTAATTTGTATTTTAAATATTTTAATAAATAAATTGCATCAGCAGGAAATAAAAATAAAAGGAAAGAGAAAAATATCAACGAAAATGCTGGGAAACAGAAAGAGAGAAAGTTTTTTTCACTGTATAAAAAAAAAGTTTGGTTGACTTTAAAATTTGTTTTACGTCAGAATGAATAAAGAGATAAAAATTGAACTATATAAAATTGAGATAAAAGAAAGAATAAAAAAATTATAATTATAAAATAATCAAATGGATAAAGCAAGTTCTTATTGTAATTTAGATTTATAATTTTTTAAAAAAAGAAAAATAACAATTTTCAATATATTTTCTGAATAAAATTATCACGTTTTAAATATTGTTGCTAGAATATAAAAAAACAAAATTTATTATATTTATTATAATTTATACAATATTTATTAATTTGGAAAATCAAAAGATGAATTTATTTTAAGATTTTAACATATTCTTTTGAAAATTATATACGTAGAGTTTTTCTTGCAATGACGTATTTTTGAAAAAAATAAAAAAAATAAAATTCAAACGAACAATTATGAGATTATACAATCGTATTGTACATCCAAAGATTCGTTTTAACAATTGTCAGAAAATTGTGATTTATTCAAAAAGCGAATAATCGTTTCGTGTTAATTATTATCCATCCAAATAACCAGTTATTCCTATTTCAGGTGGAGAGAACCAAGAGGAAGGAGTGTGAGAATAGATGAAAGAAATGCATTCGAGGCATGTAATCCGTTTATATTCCCTGTGATTGACCGTTCTCCCATCAGTCCCTGTTACACGAGAACGTAACTCTTCGTTGAAATGTTTCCCGCCCCCATTGTGTATGTCGTTTCTTTTCATTTTATTAGACCTAGTTTATTCATAAATAAATGTCGTATTTATTTTATTTCAATTCTTTCAAATTGCAGAACAGAATGGAATATATATACAAGACAAAAATAATATGAAAGTTTTTGTTCGTATTATTCATAATTTCAATTTGTTCTGAAATCTGAATTTAATAAGATAAGTTTTATCATAATAATCCAAATCCATTTAAATTTTTTAATGATTTAATTTATGTTCGATAATTTATAATAATTCATTATTTTTGTTTTCAGTAATTTATCGTAACAATAATTTTACGTCTTTATCTTTTATAAATGGTTACATTTCTCATCTTTACGAGGTTACGTTTTAATTACGATTCCGAGTTTCTACAAAGCCCATAAAGTTTAAATGGAAGCACGCATCGTACGGTGAAAAAAGAAAAGAAAAGAAAAGAAAAAGAAAGTACAATATATCTTTAGTAACATTTATTGAAACTCTCCACGGAAATCATGACACGTATGATGACGAATAGGTTTTATTTTCTCGGCCGATCGAAAGAGGCGGGGATGGAATCTGGAACTTCACCCTCCGCCCGTCAAAAGTAAATAAAAGTTCTGTCTCACACCGTGGTATTCAAAAGTTCTGACAGGCTAAAGAATACTACAAAACCTCGATGAACTCGTTTCAAACTATATAATATTTTGTGAAAGTTAGTCTTTCTCTAATTCAATTAACGAATAGTAACCATGCATCTGTCTAACATTTTAATTTTATTTTAATTTTCAATATCTCTAATATTTTCTTATAATTTTGCCTCTTTTGTCCTTTTTATTTTATTTTTTATTTCTTTTATTTATCGATATACACGAAATAAAATTTTTTAAATATAATTTACAGGATAAAATACAAGGTATACAGGAAGTAGTAAGTAAATAAAACGAACAAGTAGTACCTGCTACATGATATACGACCGATCTTTCACGTTCCCGTGCCGGTTGATAACTCGATTTGTCAATATCAGACGGGGACACTATCGAATTTATTTTTTTTTTATACAAATCCCGATTCACCGTCGCAAAGTAAATTCTTTCGCCTCGTGTGACGAGAACTCCACGGCACGATTTCATATTCCAACGAAGGAAAGTATTTTGCATAATTTATTTCGCTGCAACTTCTTTTCCACCTTGCGTCGCCCTTTTCCGCCCATCCCCACCCAACGCGGTCATCCCCCTCCTCCTCCACGTTGCTTGTTACAAACCACGCCCCCTTCTTTTCGAATCCCTCTTTTCGAATCCTTTTTGTTTCCGTCAACGTTGTGAAACTATTGAGATCGATCGTTCTTCCATTTCATTCATTCTCCAATTCCTTCTTGGAATTCTCTACAAGGTCGTCCCGAATAAAAGTTCCCGCCAATGATGGACAGTTTGTTTTTTTGATTAAAAAAAAAAAAAAAAAAAAAAAGGAAAAAAGAAAGAAAAGGAAATATATGATTTGGAATTTTAAAGATTAACGATCTGCAGATTTATGAAGTTAGCATCCCAGAGACGAGGGAGTAATTACGTAAAATTACATAATACCATTAATGACGTTTATGCCACGAGAAATTAGGTTCATCACGGACAAATTTAGCACAGTTATGGATCCTGTATTGTCCCCTTAAATGGGCTGCTATTAATTAAGATTAATGAAATACGATCAATTGTAATAGCTGTTAATCAATCGATAATATTTTTATTAAAGTCGTGATATATTTGACGCCTACGTTTATTTAAACTATATATTATAGTTTAAATATTGGATATCAAAATTCATGAAAAATATTTTTTTCCCCTTTAAGTTTAAACATCATTCTTACAAAAATGAACATATATCCATTAATAATAATACAGATTTTTATCCCAGACATCTTTTTTTAAATCTCACCCGGGCAAAAAATATCCATATTCAAAGGCTTAACTCAACAATTTCCGTTCACAAGCACGAACAATATAAGTAAAAGCATAATCGGCCGATCAAACACGCGAAGACAAACGAGTCATTTGTAATGACTTGCGACATTTGGCACGAAATATGAGAGATTAAAATATGATACAATAGTTTGTATGAATATGTAATTGAAAAAAAAGAAAAGAAAGAAAATTAACATCGACTAAGTAAGCGTTATCGCTTACTTTTATTCGCAAATAAATTTTCAAACGTTTGCATTCAAAGTCGTCGGTATGCGAGGAATTCCCGGAATAAATAGAAGCATTCAAGAATCTCATCAGAAGAAAGTTTCGACGAAGTAATTGTGGCTAGTAATTTTTATTATTACCTTTAATTATTGCAGAAACAAACAAAACTTTATGGACCACGAATGAAACTTTATTCAACGAAACTTTATTTGCTTGTTCATTTATTCATCGCTAGCTAGAAAGTAATTCGATAACTTGGCTTCGAACTTGGTATCGATGACAAGGTTAGAAAAAAAAAGAACACTCGAGCGGGGAATTTTTTTTCCCCTAGACGCACGGCACGCGTCGCGGGGCGACCAAGCGACAACGTAATTTATCCATTCGGATATCCCTCTCGAACGGGCGTTTGTAAGAAAAACAGCAAACTTTTCCGCCGGTGGCACGTGTACGCGCTTGTTGTAAACTTCGCACCGCATAAAAGCATGTAAATTGCAGCTCGCGTGTACGTGCTTGGCGTAAAGCTTCCAGAGAGCACTTCGTTTTCGCATTTAACCAACCTCATTCTTGTTTGATCAGCCCTGCCATAGCTTCGAATCGCTTTGAACGCATTTTAGTCAAACTTTTACGAACTATTTCTGCAATATCCTTCTCGAACTTCAATACAGTGTTTTATAATAATATTAATATTTATATTAACGAGATATATTTGGAGGATCGATTCTAGGGGCTAAAAACAGGTATACAAAAATATAGGTAATCGAAGCTTATTTATTAAATTATGAGCAATTTAAGTTTTCGTTAGATGAAAGAGAATTGGATAGTAGAGAGGATGATGTGACAGAGATGGAACTGTTTCACTCTGTCTTTGTCTCGTTTCATTTAACGCAAACTTAAAATTATTTATAACCTCAATCAACATTTTTTGCGTTTACCAACTTTGTATTACAGATTCCATTGAGATATTTATTATAAAAATTCGTATAAATAATTATTTATCAATTCGTGCATAATCACTTTAAACTATTTTTCTAATTTCGTTAAGTAAGTATCTTACCTAAACGGCAGATCCTTACTATCAGTTCCCCCGTAAAATAGAAAATAAAAGACTGTAGTAATACCTGAAACAGAAAATAAAAGAACCATATTAATTAAGAGGATAAAAGATAAATTCGAATAAAAAATATTAAATTTAAATTTATTTTTTTCAGCCGAGTATATAATAACCAAGTGGTTGATGAAATTGCAAACGATAAATAAAAAAAAAATTTGTTTTTTCGAATAAAACAAATATATATATAAAATAAATCTTTACTATTTCGATCGAAGTCGTAACTTTGAGCATTGTTCAGAAGGAGAACAATTTTATTGATGTTCCACGATAGAGAACTCGAACAAATCCGAAAATGATTGCAAAAGAAGCTACGATTGCGGAAGGTGGAACGATTCTCGGTAAAATGGTGTGTATATGTGTGTTTATGTGTGTGTCCACGTTATTTTAGTACAGGAGTGCGTGCTCTCGTTCGAGGTCACGTTTGATATTCTAATTGACTCGTTTTGCATATTAAAGGACATTTGAGCCATGGAAAAAGGGACTTTAATTACGTTGCTAGTTCACATCGAACTTCTTACCGAGTCTTGAATCGATTTTTCTTCTTCTTTTCTTGAATTAATCCTTTTGCGGTCCTGTGTTGTACCAGTCTCTGTGATTCTGTTTTTATTAAAATCTCTACAGTACTTTTAACGTATAAGATATATTCCTTTGTGTTGTAAATTATTTTATTAAAAATATATTATAACGTGGACAATCTTTTTTTCTAGGTTTATTTAATACAAACAAATTGTTATGAAATATTTCATGATTCTTAAATATGGAAGAATTGATAAAAATGAATGGAAGTTAAAGATTAATTTTGCACCTTATTAAAATTTAATTGCTCAATTATGACATAACAAAAAATCAAATTCATATTGATCGATAAAGTTTAATACAGAGAAGGAAATTGGTATTAATTATTTATAATAAATTCACGAAGAAATATAAAGATGAAATATAAACGAAATTATTTTCATAACAAATTCACGAAAATATGTTCATAGAATCGTAGGATTATTAGATTTTCATAACCAATGCAACGTCGTTTGAATTCTGTAAATGTCGAGAAATTTTAGATAGAAAGGGAAGAAAAGAAGAGAAAATGTTCGTGAATCAAGAATGGTTATTCTCATCCGAATGTCGTGTCGCGAAAATCGAGATGAGCGACTTCCATTTCGCTATTGCTCATTCCACCTTTTCAGCGGCTGTGTCAAGACACGAAATTCTCGAAATAGACGGCACCACGAGCGAGAGAAACGTGAAACAGAAAGGGGAAGAGGAACGAAGATGAAAATTCGACCAAGAATCTTCTAATCCAATCCAATTCATCGTTGAAAAGATTGTATTTGACGTCGACTGCGTTATATACGCTTATGATGAATACTTTTTCAATTTTCAAACTTTTATATGATTTGTAATATTATTTTGAATACTTTTACTTAAAATTCTTTTCGATAAATATTACAAACAAGATATAAAAGATTTGCTTCATCAGAGAACAAAAAAAGAAGGAAGACTTTTCAATCAATTGGAATCAAAAATTTTGAAATAAATGTACATATATTATATGATCAAATATTGGCCCATGATCAAAATAATCCATTATTTGGAAACCAAACTCTTTCAGGACTGAAAGATTATGGAAAAAATTTGTTTAATATTAATTATTAACAACGAAGACATATTTTTTTTATAAGGTTTTTATAATTATTTTGTAAATTTAACAGAATGATATTTATTTTTTGATCAATAATTAATTACAGAATTATATTGCAACAGGAAGCATGGAATATGATTAAATAATTAGAAAACTGTTTAATCAATAGTAATTGAAATAAATAAATAATATATATATATATATATATATTTAATATTTAGAGATTCAACATAAATATATTTTGTAATTGCAAGAATAATGAAACAGAATACGCAATTACAGATAGCACTATTCTATAGCATAGTGCATGCTAGATAATATAGCTGTTTGATGTATTAATTCAGAGCAATTATAAGGGTTACGTTGCCCTACTGAGCACAGACTTGCTAACTGCCGAGCACAGTTATTTTGAGATAATTGCATTTTAAAGTTTAATCGGGCTGCTACCGCTTATGTATGCTGCCACCGAATTTCCAAGCCTTTAGTTTCCACCATGAGACGAAAATACTATTATACGTCATTATTAGTTGTATCCGTGTACAATTTCTTCTAATAATAACCGAATCTATTTCCAGCGTCGTGTACGATGATAGACTCTTTTCCAGCTAAAATTTAGATCCAGTAAATTTTTGCAATTATTATTTATAAATAATTTACTTGCAAATTATTGTTATGTTCACATAATAATTTAAATCCATTTTCTTTGTTCAAGATTATTTCCGCTCCATCCTTTAAAATATTTTGTTTTTCTATTTTCATCGACAATTAACCGTTGTCTTCAATCCTTTCAAATTGAAAATTAATCTTTGTGTTTGGAAAATTGTGGTCGCAAGATTCCATTCTTCCCAGTGCCAGAACTTTAGTAACACTTTAAGTGACACGCAGCACTCGAGTGATCGATTCTGTGGCGAGTTTCCAAGTAAGATAATCAAACTTTCGTCTCTTAATACCCACGGATGCAAATAAACGTTGTATGCCATGAATGTTGCCTGATGTATACGAAAAACAACTTCATGATCAAACAACAGAGTATCGGGAACGGGATTAAAACAAATAATTAAAACAATAATTAAAACTAGATGAATGCGCGTATGATGTTCCCACTTTATACAATAGGTTTAAAAGAAAAACTTTTTACCGACCAACGGTATACATGCTCCGTGTGATCGGTGCATTGACGGAGTATCTTGTGTTCAAACATATAAAAAACTAGACAAAGAAATAAGAAACAGGAGGAAAGAAGAAAATGGCAAAGACGTGAAAAGATATAAAACAAATAGACAAATAAACGGGGGACAAGCAGGATACGTAGACAAAATTGAATCTCGAAATGTATTCCATAAATAAATAAAAGGCTTCCAAATGGGAACAGGGATGAAGAGGAGATAGCAATGAAAGGAAGAGTGGGGGAATGATGGTACAGAGGAAGGGGTTGTAGAAGAGTAGGGGAAGTTATATGGTCGTTACGCATCGTGGGTGTATGTGCACGTGTTTGCAACGCGCACGCGTATTTATATCTCTTTCCCTGTATGAATGAGCAGCGTAAATGTGCGAAAGCTCGTACGTACTTACACGCGAATGGCATGAATAACCAGCGCATAAAGTCCCGTTTACACGTCGAAGGAAAGCCGCTCTTCTGTTTCTCGCTCGGTAAAAAAGAAACAATGCGTTTGGCACGTGCCTGCCGTAACAACACGTAAGATCTTAAAAAACAAAAACTCTGTCCTGTATTTTTTTTGAAATAGTTCAAAGAAAATCTGAAATTCTAATTTGTACGACGGTACCATTTCATTTATTTTTCACATTTTATATTTCAATTTTAAATTAAAATTTTTAAAATTAAAAAAGTTTTTTTTAATATTTATATTGGTTATATTTTATATTTGGTACATTAAATTTTTATAAATCTACTTTCAGTTATGAAAGATTGATGATATTTTAAATCTCTTCGTATAATATTTAAGTGAAGTATGTTAAAAAAACTAAATTAATTTATGTTTTGAAACTTAAAATTTTCATTTGTTTGAATACTGAAGTGAGTTTCATTTGCAATCACTTCAAAATTTCTTAATAAGTTCGTTAACATTTTAAATATTGCGGTTAAATATTAAATTATACATTCGTGGAAGATTATTGGAGATACAAACGTTAAACTTCTTGAATTTTCTGCCAGCTTCTCTTTCAATATAATCTTGCACTGAATCCATGAACGAGACATTCAAAGAAACGTTTCTTCTTTGATAAAAGGAAATGTTTATCTCTGTCACGAACTTTTATAATGGATAAACTGTTCTTCCGTTCGTTGCAAATAAACCAAGAACATTTATTAACGGATTATACAAAACATCTAGCGATATTACATTTATACGTATATAACGTAGCTCGTTAACCGTTTGTATGAAATAATCTTGAAACAAGTTGCGTGTAGTCGAAGGTTTTTGCCGTTTCCTAAATAAATTATTCATGCATCATTCCCCTTTACCTTCGCCCATTAAATACTGCGAATACTAAATCAAATGTACATCAGAAAACGATTTAATTGTATCAAGTCAAAAGTACTAAATATTGCAAAAAAACGGAAATATTTCGTTTAATATTTATTTATTAATATTAAAAAAAAAGTCATCATTGTTTTTCTCTCTTTCTTCTCTTCTTCTTTTTATTCGCTGGTTTTACCTACTTTTAAAGTCTTTAAATATTGATCGGTCCTATATTATGTATACAAAAGAACGTTTTATTCTATTTTAATCTGCTTTGTATCAAAAAAACAACGGTGTTCGGAGCCTTTTATATATAACTCAGTAGAATTCTCTCCCCTATCCCGTTTTTATTATTTCAATTGCCAACTTTTTCTTACATCAAATGAAATAATACACAAGCAAGACTTACAGAGCATGCTTTGCGTCATACAGGTCAGTTAAATATTATATTATTCCCTTATGGGATAAAATAAAATCGTATATTTTATTGCAAAACTAAATTAAACTCTTCGCAAATACTTTTTATACTTTTTTCCCAAGTTTTCAACTCCTCTAAAAATCCACAGGAGCATTGATCGCGATATAAATTTCAATCGAATACTTTCGTGCTCGCCAATCCTAGCTGAAAACTTTTGCTACCAACTGTACGTTTATAACCTAACTCCTGCCAGTCCCACGTTTCACAATTTCAAATAATAACACGAGCAAACTTTTTATACCTAATAACAAGAAAGGAGTATGTATAAAACTGAGGAGAGCAAATGAATATCAAAACCTTGACCATTTCTTGCATTTATGCAACTGTTCATAAATATATCGGCCGTATTTAAATTAAAGAATATATTTATTTTCTAAATTTTTTACACGTA